CACACAAGGCCCTGAGCACAGGAGGTCACCGGTTACCAGTGGCAGAGCTGGGATCTGAACCCGGGAGGCCTGACCCCAGAGTCCATGTTCCCAAGCACCGGAGTGTGGCTCCCTAGGAATTCAGAAGCTAAACGTCAGGCAGTGAGGAAAGGTCACCTGCCAGAGCGCGTAGCTGGAAACAAGATTATTAAGAAGGTAACCTGGAGGAAGTAGGTTTTTTTTTTTTTCCTTCCCTGAGGCCTCCGAAGCCATTACACATAATTAAGCAGGGGAATGACATGAAGGAAACTGCACATTAGCATAATCACTGGCTGTATTTCAGCTCTCCCCCTCTGTCCCACTGCCATCCGAACTCCCTAAGTCTCTATCGCTGCTCATTTGCTCCACTGGGCTAGCAGCTGAAGGATGAGAAATGTGCAATTTCTATACAAAATGCAGGTGTTTTCAGACACCCTTGTTCAGCTGGTTTTCAAGGCAGATCCATGCCCGTACAGATCAGTTTTCCTACTCCACCCACCACATCAGTGAATTTTCCTTTTATTATCTAAGCCGTTTTCTTCTGAAATAGAAATGGCTTAACCTAGTCGCTTGAACTTCAGTAATGAATACAGAGTTTCTCTAATACCTTCAGAAAACTGCTCCACCAGTTAACACACCTATCAGAAATTTCTGTTTGTTTGCTATAGAGTGTGTGTTCTCACTGGAGAGAAATAGAGAGTGGGAGAGGGAAAGTGAGAAATCACTCCATCACTCCCCAGGGGGGACTGACCATGCCCCAATCCTTTTCCTCCATTCTGTTAGGATTTGGGGCACACACACACACACATGCCTGGAGTGTTTTTTAAGCCACTGGGTCCGGTACTCAAACCACGCAGTTAACCATGTAGGATCCAGATGCCTTAACCACCATGTCACTAACTGGCCCTAGGTTTGTTTGTTTTAAAGAATTATTTTTTTATTTAGTTTTATTTATCACTATTATTTTTTAAATTTGACCAGACAGAGAGAGACAGAGACAGGGGGAAAGTGAGAAAGCAAATCACCAGGTCTGGGTGGTTTGGCCAGGTGGAAATCCAGCGCCTTAACCATCATGCCACCTGCTGGCCCCTTAACAGCTCTTACTGACGCCACTTGCATAAACCTTTGGCTAGTATACTAATTTCTCACTTTTTATGTGGCCTCTGTGCCTCTGTGAAGATAGGATGTCCCTGTTCTCACACCCCACACCTGTGCCTGCCTCTTGATTCATGGCAGCCATTGTGACAGCATTCTTTTCTTGATTTTAGAATTCGAATTTCAGGTGATCAGGGTCCGAGGAACCATTTCTCTTGTGGATCTTAGCAGTGACCTTCCCTGTTTTCTGGGCCAGTAAGGTCAGTGGTTTTGGGTAACTGTGGATTTTTTGCTTAATGAACATAATAACTAGAAAAAAAAATAGGACATGCGATTGAACCATAGTCTGTCTAGAATCCACGTGAAATACATTCCATCCGCAGTCCCGTGCTATTTATAATTCTCACTTGCAATTGCTTTTCCTCTACCATGATGCTCTCTCCTGTCATCTGTCTTTCCCAGGATTCTTTCCCGAGGGCTGCAAGATCAATTTCCTAATTCCTGGCCTTCTTCCTGTGGTGAACAGACTAAAGAGGGCCTCACCTCCCTGTCCCCAGGCTTTTGGGTAATCCCCTCTCTGTAAGTGCATATGTGGTATAGGGGGAGGCTGTGACTTGCTTCTAATAGAACATAAGGGGATGGGATGTCACTGCCATGATTATATTACACAGGACTATAGTGTCCCTTTTTGTGGGAAACTCTCTCACTGGCTTTGATGAAGCAAGTGGCCGTGGTGGGGAGCTGAAGGTGGCCTCCAGCTGACAGCCCAGCCGGAAATAGGCCTTCTGTCCAACAGGACCCTGAATTCTATCAACAATCACATGGACCTGAAAGCAGATCCTGCTCCAGCTGAGTCTTGAGAAGATACCGTGGCCCTGGTTGACACATTGATTGCATCTTTCACTTTGAGCAGAGGACTCAGTGAAGTTGCCCCCAGATTTCTGGCCCACAGATAAATAAGATTTTCTCTTTACCTTGTCTGATCATATTATCTACCTAGTTCCAGAGGCATCCTCCATTCCTCTGGCTTCCCTTTAATCCACAAGGCCTCCCTTTGGGCACACTTCACTCCTTACACGGTGGGTATTTATGTCAATAGTGCTAAGATTGGGGGCTGGACAATGGCACAGCTGTAATGCAAAGCTCTGTGAGGCTGACTCACATAGGAAGGTTCTGGGTTCACATTCAAAGACCTCCCCTGAACACACTGGGTGTGTGCATGCCCATGATCTAGGGCTGGTAGAAGCTGGGGCTAGATCTTGGCATGGGGACCCTGGTTAGGTTGCTCTCTCTTTCTGGGAAGAAAGAAACTATTTTTTAAAAAGTTATCAGACTGAAGACACTCCTTAACTTTACATATCTTCTGGCCAAAGACGTTCTATAGCCAAGATATTGGCCTGGACACCTAACTACTGCTCATGGCGGTGGTAAAAGGTGGCAGTAGAACAAAAGCTTAACATCTTGTGTCTGCACTATTTCTTCTGAGGCAACCCTCCAACATTACAGGGTCTCCCAGCTATCTGAGCCCTTTGTCCCTCACCAGAGAGATCCTTGGGCTCTGTTCCATCGGGGACAGAAATTTGGCCTGTAGCTGCTCTCTTAGGCTGGAGACTACTCAAAAGACTGCTTTGTGAATGGAGAGTGGTGCCAATTCGGTCTCCATGGTATCAGTTCCTTTCAGTTTGCTTTTTCTTTCCTTTTATTTTTTTTGGAGAAGTTTTTGCTATAGGGCACGTGCGCTCGCCGGAAAGACAGAGAGAGAGAGAGAGAGAGAGACAGAGAGATAGAAAGTGAGAAATCACCCCCCAGGGGGGATGGCCACGCTGCAATCCCTTCTCCATTCTCCTCTTGGGATCTTGGGCACGCACGCACATGCGCCCAGCGTGAGTTTAAGACACCGGGTCTGGGACTCGAACCGCAGTCGACTACATGGGAGTCCAACAACATAGCCATTACGCTAACTGCTGGCCCCCAGTTTGCTTTTTCTTAAAACCAGGTTCTATTAATACCACACAGTGATGCATGAATACATTCTCTAATTAGAGAAAAAAACCTCAACCTTATCTCAGATGACCTCTTTAACTTCTTCCCAGAGCATGGGCCTTTCTCCCATTGGCCTGAAGCCTAGTTTTCAGTTTGGCTGTGACCCTCCAGATCCTTTTCTATCCATTCACACACAGAGATGTGCCTGTAGAAAATACTGACCTCATGGTTTCAATCACAAAAGGTATTGATCTGTACATATTAATCTGTAAACTAGTTTTAAAATTTGACAATGTGTCATTGGGGTCTTTCCATGTTAAGTTTGTTCTCAACTGCCATGTGGTATTCTACAATATGGATGGGCATTTACATCATTTTTACTTGTTCTTATAAATAATGCCATGATGAACATCTTTCAGTATATGGATGAGTTTTATTAAGTGATAGAATTGTTGGTTCATAGGGAATGATTTGACTATTAAATGATATTGACAAACCATCCTCTAAAGTAGCTATACTGATTTACAAGTTCACCACCAAGAAATGTGTATCATTTTCCCAAGCCTTGCCAACACTTTAGAAACTTAACTTTTGCTCATTCATTAGATGGAAAATTGATTTCTCACTGTTTTAATTTGTGGTTCCTTGGATTATAAACACTTCTGAACATTGTGGGCTATCATTAGTATTTGTTCTTAAATATTTGTTAATAGCATTTGTCAATTTAAAAAACAAATAGTTGACAGGATCAGCAGGTAGCGTGGTGGTTAAGGTGTTGGACTTCCGCATGGCCAACCGTAGTTCTGAGTTTTAGACCTGGCGGCTTGCAAATCACACTGGGTGCATGTACACGTGTGCCCAAAACCCCAGAAGGAGAATGAAGAAGGGACTAGTGTGGCTATCCCCCTTTAGGGGTATGATTTCTTACTTTCCTTCTCACTGTCTCGCTCTCTGACAAGCACACACACCCTATGGTAAAAATCAAAAAAAAAAAAAAAGTTAGTTGTTTTATGATTTACAGGAGTTCTTTTTTTCTTTTTGAGAGGTTTTCGCTATAGGGCGCGTGCGCTCGCCAGACAGAGAGAGACAGAGACAGAAAGTGAGAAATCACCCCCCCAGAGGGGATGGTCACGCCGCAATCCCTTCTCCTCCATTCTCCTCTCGGGATCTTGGGCACGCACACACACACGCCCAGAGTGAGTTTTAAGCCACCGGGTCCAGGACGCGAACCGCGGTAGACTACGTGGGAGTCCAGCAACATAGCCATTACGCTAACTGCTGGTTCCCAAGAGTTCTTTATGTAACATTGTTGGTCCTTTGTTTTTATCTCACTTATTTTGCTTATTTGTGCCTTCCCATGGAAAAGGTCTAGAATTTAATGCTATTCAATTGGTAAATCTTTTATGGTTTCGTTCTTTTTCTGTCTTAGAGAACTCCATGATCATAAACCTTCTTACATGTTCATCAATATTTGAACAGCTTTCTATATAAGGTTGACTGATTTTAGTGAATGGAGTGAGGTAGGGTCCTATTTATAACATTTACTTAGTAAGCAATTGTCCCAACTCTGCTGGCTAGTCTGCTAGTTTAGAAAACTGTCTTTGTCACATTTAATTCCCACATATACCCCAGTCTGTCTATACATTTCAGTTAAGTCCGTCTGTTTCACACAGCATTACTTGACATCTTCATGGGGGCTTCACAGGTCTTCCTAGGGGCTCTAGTCCCATTTAAAACATTCGCTCTTTCCAACTCTGCAATCTTTTTATTTCTAGTACCCACTCTCAAGGTTTGGGCCCTTGAACTCAGTTAGGGAGTATGGGGGTGTCAGTATTTCAGAGATTAAATTCACATCTTAATTCTCCACATACCCTTTATATCCAAGAGAAATCCAGCTGGACACCAGTAGCCTAAATGCTATTTATTGAAAAGAGCAGAGTATTACAAGGGAAAAAAGTACAGCCCCCTGGGGACAGGATAGACCAAAACGAGCAGTGCAAGTCGGCCTCTTGCTCAGCATGTGCTCTTGTTGCCCCACTGGGCCATCTTATTGTTGATGGGCATCTTGAAGAAGCGGTCAGACTGCAGGTAGGCAGCTATTTTCTCCAAAGCCTGAAGGAAAGTACATCAAACCTTATAAAAACCCTAACCTAGTCCAAGAGACCCATACCAAAACAGCAATGTTCGCATGCTGCCTGCTTCACCTCCCCCCTTAGGGGTGCACAAGCCAGGGCCTTTCTTTTTTTTTTTTTTGAGAGGTTTTTGCTATAGGGCGCGTGCGCTCACCAGACAGAGAGAGACATAGGGACAGAAAGCGAGAAATCACCCCCCAGGGGGGGATGGTCATGCTGCAATCCCTTCTCCTCCATTCTCCTCTTGGGATCTTGGGCACGCATGCACACGCGCCCGGCTTGAGTTTTAAGCCACCGGGTCTGGGACACGAACCGCGGTCGACTCCGTGGGAGTCCAGCAACATAGCCATTACGCTAACTGCTGGTTCCCATCCAGGGCCTTTCTAAGACTTAAAGGCCTAGAGGTCTCCAACCACTGCTCTCTTTAGGTGAAAGTTGGTGCTGGCCAAGAATCTACCACAATGGAGTCCCCTGGGGCGCAGGGGAGAGTGTAAATGTTTCAGTAAGAGAAAAGTAAGGGATCTTTACCTCAAAACGGCACATGAAAGCCTTCAGATTTGGGAACTCATCCAGGCATTTGGGCTCAAATAAACGGTTCTGATCTAACACATCGTAGGTGAGAAAATCCACAAAGGTGAGCTAGGAGGAGGACAGTAAGGTGTCAGGTCTAAAGATTTCAACACCTGCAAAGATAGAGAAGTATCTTCTTCCTTTCCCTCTTCTTACCTTCTCCCCCGCAAACCATGAGAATTTCCCCAGGAATAAAGAGAATTGTTTCAGTTGTCCAGGTAGCTGTTCCAAGTACTGAGGCTTCATTTTTTCCTGGGAGAGAGGGAAAGAAGATGAGCTGTCATCATCTCCATAGCTAATCAGGGCCCAGGCCAGGGATGGACACTCAGTAGCCCCTCCTCAAGGCACTTTCTTCTCACTACCCTTCACTTGAGGGTAGCAGGATGGGAAGAAGGGGTTTGGGAAGAAGGAGGGGCCAACACCAGGGTTATATGACAAAACAAAGCAGAAAATGAGTTCTGTTTTCTGCTCTGACCATAGGTAGCAGCAGCAGAACTGAGCAGAAATCACCCTTGGGTTCCTAAATGCTCCTTTTCCTGATTTTCTCGTTTGGCTGAAACATGCTAAGGAGACTCACATGGTCAGAACTGTAACAGAGCCGGATTAGTTGCATGCGGAAATCCATTATTTGGTTCTCCATGATGTCCACTCGAATCTTTTCTTCTTCGGTCTCACCACCTGTAGGCCGAATGACAGCAAATCGCCCTTGGGATCGTGCACCCCGATGAATCACCTGCTGGTCTCCCTCATCAGCCCAACCCCACTCACACATATTGTGCTTGCGAGCGATGTAGCGCAAGATGGCATTGCTCTGGGTGAGCTTGTTCTTCCCATCCACGAGGTAGGGCAGCTGAAAGGCAAGGGCATGCCAAATGAACCACCTGGCTCTATCTTGTCTCCCTACATCTCTTGGTGAGGAAGAGACTTGCAGGGCAGTGAACAGGAGCAAGATGTGTTAGCAGAAAGGACATAAGTGGGAGCTAGCAACTAGGTTCCCACCTGATTCTACTCAGGGGTTCTTAAACCTGTGTATACATGTACATCCTGGACCCTTTCTCAGAATATGCTCTCTAAACGCATACAGCAAATTACAGCAAATTAGAAAACATTAATTTTTTTTTTCCATGTGCTGGCCAGAGACAGAGTGAGAGGGAGGTAAAAAGTGCTCTCCAGTGGGGTGTGCTCATGCTACAATCTCTCTACTTCTCCAACCTGTTGGCACTTGGGGCACACATGCACATATGCCTAGTGTTTTTCAAGCCACTGGGGCTGGGATTCCAACCATAAGGGATCTAGCTATCTTAACCACTAGGCAACTGAGCCAGCCCTGATTATAAAACATTTCACAACAAAATTGAAATACCATAATATACTTATTCATGCATTAAATATAAAGCAGATGTAATAACTACCATTATTTCAACAGTGATGAATATAATAACATTTAAGATATCTGCAGTATATTTAATAGAATATGAAAACACCTGATTTCTATTGGTGACAAAGTCACTGACGTGGCTACTAACTAACGTTGCTTTTGCCTATTTTCACAACAGGAGGAAATGTTAACTTTTGTTAGTGATTAGTGGAAATTAAAATGTAATTTTTTCTCCATCCAGCTCAGGAACTCTAGAATACTGTGTATGTTCCCCAGGATTAGAGCCCCTATTCTAGATGCCCCCAGACCAGGAAGGAAGTAGCAAGGATGGATATACTTGAAAGTCTTCCCGACTGCCCTCTCCGCTCCTAAAGCCACCTACATTAGGAAAATCCAGGTCTAGTTTGAATTTCACATCCAGCCACTGGCTTCGATCATAATCAGGAGCTGTAAGAGAGGGGATGAAATGGGACCCAACCGTCTTAATAGCTCACCTGATGACAGTGGTAATATCTAAAGAAATGACTCAGTCCCAATACGTCAAATTCCCAGTCCCCCAAATCTTAACCATGTAGCCTCTGCAGCCTATCTGGTTAAGCATTAAGACTTGGTTGGGCTGTGGCAGAGGGAGAATCACAGCTCTAGTAAAGGATGCCTCTTTCTCCGCAGGGTATAGCGGGGAGCTCCCAGGTGACTGGAGCAGACGTCCCACCCGACCTTGGTGTGATGCCACCCCTGGGTACAAAAAGACGGACAGCTGGAGGGCTAGCTTGGCTTAGAGGGCAGTACCTCCCCCGCACGTGTACCGCTTCTCCTCATACGACGTATCGGTGAACTCCAGGAGCAGGCGGATGGCATGCGCCAGCTAGGGAAGACACCGGGAGTCAGCGCCTGCGCAGCTCCCACCGGCCCCCAACCCCTGCCCGCCAACGACCCCCGGCCCGCTCCGGGCGGATGAGCCTGCACCCATCCTGCCGGTAGGCAGTCGTTCAGCGACCCCCAAGTCCCGCCCCAGCAGGGTATCCGCAGCAGTGCCGTCGTGGTGCCTTCGCCGTGGGGTCCCACGATCCGGGAGGCGGGGCAGGGGTCGGTCTCCATGGCCGCGCAGCTCGACTCCGGCCGGCCGCGCCGCTGGAGGCGAAGGAGCTCCAGCGGAAAGCCGCCTCCCAAGGAGAGAGCTGACCTGGAGCCCCGGCAGCCTCCGCCGCCGCCTCTCGGCTGGAGCGGCTCGGCGGTTGAGACGGCACTCACCCCGCGAATATCCCAGTAACCCAGAACCATAGACTTGGACGACATGGTGAAACTGCTCACGCGCCTTCGAAAATAGGGGGCCGGGCCTCCGCGGGCTGGACTTTATAGCCTACGCGAGTGGGCGGGGCTACCTCGAGCGCCCTGGCTCCGCCCTCGCCCCGCCCTCCCCCCCTCCCTTCGCACGCCCACAGGGCCCCAAGCGGGGGGGATGCCGAGGGGAGGCAGCGGCTGGAGCGTACCAGGCGCGCGAACAGTCAGTCCCACGGACTGGAGCTGCACTTGGTTCATGAATAGCATCAGTCAGGGTGGGCAGAGCACCAACCGCTAGGCAGCAGGACCCTAGTTACCCCAGGGAGAGTGGGATTCTTGCCCTATTGACCCAGCCGGGAGTGGGGTGGTTGGGGCAAACCCGGGAGAGGCGGACGGACATGCTCTAACCACTAGGAAATCGCTATCTTTGGCGAGTGTGGGAGGGGCCGAGAGGAAGGGAATGTTGATAGGGGACCCAAAAATGACTCAGACCCATAAAACTGTCAGGGTATGTGATGCCACCTAAAGTATTTTGGAGGGAGACCTCTCTTTTGGACCCAACAGAGGGTGGTTCTGAGAAGGCTTCAAGAAGGCGTTGGGCATTTGAGCAAGGCCACTGAGGAAGGCTAGGCCGTGGGCGCTGGGAAGCAGGAAAGGGCATTCTGGGTAGCAGGAGCACCAACACTGAAGGTGGGGAATAAGGGCGACTGTAGAAGGAACAGCAAGGCTTACTGAGTGAGGCTGGCTTATCCAGTTGTGACAGCCATGGGAAGAAATGAGGCTGGAACAGCGTGTTAAGGCTGGGATGGGAGTTTGGATGTTCCCTCGCTGGTCTGTGGGGATCTCTAGATCACACCATTCAATGGAAGTATAATACAAGTCATATATATAATTTAAAATGTTCTGTTCCTAGTAAAAGGAAACAGGTGAATTACTTTTTAATAATGTATTTTATTTACTCAGTATATCAGAAAGTACTAAAACTTCAGCATGTAACTAATACCAAAGTTATTGAGACATTTTATATTTTTTTTGAATTTATTTATATTACAGGTGAGAGAGGCAGGGAGGGAGACAAGCACCTCAACAAGGGCTCGATGCCATGATCCACCCGCAGCCAGCTCTGGATCATGAGCACGCATGTGGGTTCAGGGAGGTCTCCAGACACAAATCCAGAACCTTCTCATGTGGATCATCTTTGCCGAGTGTCATGTTTCACTGTTGTGCCACTGTCTGATTCCTTAAATTTTATTTTTGTATTGTTCCCAAATGCAGTGTATGTTTTACATGTAGAGCATGTCTTAGTTCAGACTAGGTACATGTCATATCCTCAGTAGCCTTGCGTGGCTTGTGACTGCTTTGTTGGGCAGTGCTGATGTGGAGGCTTTGCTGAGGCATGCTGTCAGACTCTGCTTCAGGGAAACCAATCTAGCTTTGTGTAGAATGGACTGGAGAGGGAAGATGACTGCATTTTTCATTCCCTTGTTCATTAATCCATCCAACGATGGCTTTATTCATCTATCCAGCAATGCTTATTAACACGCCTAGTATAGGCAGGTACTATTTTAGTTGGGGATATAGAATCGAAATGAACAGATGAAAAAATTGCTGCCTCTAGGAATGGAGAGAGGCGGAAGTAAATACATGAAGCTACTTTCAAAAGGTCATGGAAAATGGAATTAATGGGTGAGGTTGCTGGGGCAAGCAGGTAGCATAGTGGCTAAGGCACTAGACTCCCACATAGCAGACTGCAGTTTGAGCCCGGGACCCAGAGGCTTGAAACTCATGCCCGTCACGTATGTGTGAATGCCTAAAATCCTGAGAGGAGAATAGAGGAGAAGGGATTGTGGCTTAGTCATCCCCCTGGGGGGTGATTTCTCGCTATCTGTCTGTTTCTCTGGCAAGTGCATGTGCCTTGTAACAAAAATCTCTAAAAAAAAAAAGAAAGAAAGAAGAAAGTACGAGGTTGTCTTGGTGCAAAGAAGTTTTGAAACCCATGCATAGTTTTTTCATAATATGCGTTTCCCATGAGCTTTTCAAAAACCCCTTGCATAGTAAGTCCGATGGTGGTTCACAGCCTATGGAGAAACAAAGCAGAGAAGAGAGACAGGGAGCGCTGGGGTGGAACTGGGAGAGCCCCAGAAGGAAGGCAATTTGTTTGTGTTTTTGAAGAATGTGTTTGTGGAAGTCCTTCCTGAGATGGTCATCTTTAAACAAAGACCTGAAGGAGATGAGAAGCAAGCCATTCTGCTCTGAGGGCTGCTGGTGACTGCAGGAGGCAGGAGAGAACTCCAGGCAGAGGGAGACAGCATTTAAAACCACGAGACTACGTGAGGTCACCAGGAGCGTAAGAGTAGCAGAGAAGACCCGAGGTCGAGGGCTGGAGCCCTGTGACACACCAGCATTGAGAGGGTGAAGAAATGAGGAAAAGTAAGCAAAGGAGTCTGAGAAGCAGTGACCAGTGATGCAGGTGGAAAACCAGTGTCCTAGAAACCAGGTGAAGACATTTGAAGGAGGGAGTGAGCAGCCATGTCCAATGTAGCTGATAATCAAGTAAGATGACAACCAAGGTAGGATTTTGCAACATGGAGGTCATGGTGATCTGATAGGACAGGAGATTTGTAGGAGGCCTTGCTGTTCCTGGGGAGAACTGAGCTTCAAGTTTAAGCAGGTCCCCTGAGAATGAAAAAAGGGGCACAGGTTTGCAACAGTCTCAACGTAGGAAGGGAGGAGCCTAGAGCTACTCTGCGGGTTTCTGCTTTTCCACAGAGTGGCCACTTAAGGTGCTCTGAACTCCTGAGCTCCTAGCCTGGGTGTGGGAAATCACTTCTGTCCATTAATTTAGTTGAGGTAAGGTTAGGACTTTGTTTTTTCCCCCTCCAGAGGGTATGTGTGCTGGCTGGGAAGAGAGAGACAGTGAGAAAGCAAGAAAGTACCCTTTATGGGGCATGGTCATGCCACAATCCCTTCTCCTCCACCCTTCCTCCTTTCAGGGTTTTGGACACATACACATAAGCACCCGCCATGTTACTCAGGCTGCTAGATTAGGGACTCAAACCATGCAGTCAGCCATGTGAGAATCCAGCTGCCTTAACCACCACACCACTGGGACTTTTCCCCTAAAAAGAAGAAAAGGAGGAAATGCAAATGTGTCTGGACAGAAGAGGTTATAATGCCTGCTTTCTCCTCCCAAATTAATAGAAGGCCAGTCACAAGTTCACTGAGGCCTAAGACTAGCATTTATTGAATGGTTACGATCCACCTGTTGGTAGTCCAGGGGTTTCCTATGTGTTAGCTAAGTTATTACAGTTTAATCTCCACAACAACTGTACAGAAGAAGCAGGGCTGGGGAGGTTTGGTGGGCTGCCCGGGCTCCCGTGGAGGGTTGGCATTCAAACTTAGGTCTGTCTAATCGCATGACTCTGCTAGTTCCATTGCACCTGGATGTCAGGACAGCCCTCACCTCAGTCCTTTTGGGAAATCTGGGGAACTCTGGGCTTAATGTGCACTCCCCCCCCCCATTTTCTACCTAGTCTTGGAAGGTTTCCTTGCTTCTAGGGCTCCATCAGCTCCGAGAAGCTCCAGAGAGCAATAGGTCACTATCTTCTCCCTCATTCTTCTTCTTTTTTAAACATACTGTCAGAAAGTGTATGTAAGGGAGAGAGAGAGAGAGAAAGTGCAGAAGTAGCCCTCACTGCCACCCCGGGGATGATCATGCTGCAATCCCGTCTCTATTTCACCCTCCTCTTGGGACTTTGGGCTTTGTCCACCCACCTGACATGTTTTTCAAGCTGCTGGGACTTGAACTGTGTGGCCATCCGTGTGCGATCCAGCTGCCTTAACCACCAGGCAGCAGACTGGCCCATTCTCTCCTCATTCTAAGAAATGAGCTTTTTTGGTTAAATTTGCCCTTGACATGTCAGACGTAGACCCTAGGGGGTCTTAATCTTTTTTGTTTGTAAGGGAACGTTTTTGCTTTTCGCTTCTGTGTTATCAGCTGTGAGAGATGATTTGGTTTTGAAGCCAGGAACTTGAGGGAGTGACACAGGCAATGTGAAAATAAAGCAGTCTGGGTCCAGACCGTGTCAGGGTCATGGACAAATTCAGTTAAGAGAGACTAAAGGGAACATCTCCAGAACCCTAAAGGGGGGCCTCAAATCCATAAGCATATCAAATCTTACCTGTAGATCAAATTAATATAAAGTACAGTTACCTTTTTTTTTTTAAAAAAGAGATTTTTGTGGGGCCAGCAGGTTGCATGGTGGTTGAGGTGCTTCCATATGGCTGACCACTGTTTGAGTGTGGACCTGGTGGCTTGTTTTCTCACTTTTCCTTCTCTCTCTCTCTCTCTCATGAGTGCATGTGCTCTGCTGCAGCAAATTGAAAATGATAATAATGATAAATAAAATTAAATAAATACATAATTATTTTTTTTAAAAAAGGAGAGAGATTTTTGGTATAGGGTGTGTGCACTTGCCAAAGAGACAAGAGAGACAGAAAGTGAGAGATCACCCCCCAGGGGGGAATGGCCATGCTGTAATCCCATCTCCTCCAGTCTCTTCTCAGGATTTTGGATACGGATGCACACGAACCTGCATGAGTTTTAAGTAGCTGGGCCCAGTACTCGAACTGTGGTCAGCTACGTGGGATCCAGCGATGTAACCATTATGCCATCTGCCGCTTCCAAGTACAACTTCTGTTACGTGCAGAGGTCAGTCATGACAATTTAGAGATTAAAGAAGGCTACTTTTACTAGAAAATGAGAAGCCATAGACTGTCCAAACTTCACTCAGCCTTTTTTTTTTTTTTATGAGAGGTTTTTGCTATAGGGTGTGTGCGCTCACCAGAAAGAGAGAGACAGAGAGACAGAAAGCAAGAAATCACCCCCCAGGGGGGATGGCCACGCTGCAATCCCTTCTCCTCCATTCTCCTCTCGGGATCTTGGGCATGCACGCACACGCGCCCGGTGTGAGTTTAAGCTACCAGGTCCGGGATTCAAACTGCGGTTGATTGCATGGGAGTCCAGTGCCATAGCCATTATTCTAATTTCTGGTCCCTCACTCAGCCTTTGAGAAAACCAGGATCCGGGGAGCAGAATGACTTGCTAGAGTCCACACAGCCAGTTGGTGGACTTTTGACTTCCACCTCAATGTCCGTCCTGCTCTGTCACTAAAGACACAAGCTAAGGGGGGGAGGGAGGGGCACTCCACCAGCTGAGCTGGGTTGGCTCACCTAATAGCGGGGGACCAACATTGTATTTAAAGAAGAAGTTATCAAGCAGAGCCTGGTGCATTGACCCACTTGCTAGTGCATTTCTTGATCATTGGCCAATGCCACTGGTCAACACCTACCGCTGTCAGGCCTGGCGGTCTCTGCTGCTGTGAAGTGGAGACCCTTAGCTGCGCTGGGGGACAATGTATGCAGAAGGGTCGAGACGGTGGGCATAGCCTTTCATTGGAGTTTGCTCGGAAAGAAAGTAAGGAGCATGATTCTCAAAGTCTGCAGTGTGGCCATCCCCTGGGGGAGGGGGGTGATTTCTTACTTTCCCTCTCACCGTCTCTCTCTCTTTCTCCAGTGTGCACACACACACACTTGGCTCCTATCAGGCCCTGGAGGAGCTGCAAGGGAGGCACATGACATTCTTGAAGATGCTTTTATTGGGAGGGGTAGGGACTGAACAGACTCCTGACGAGCCTAGCGCAAGTGCGCCAGGCTTAGGGAAGAGGTAAAATAAATAGGTAGTAAGTGGGAGGGCTTCCACCACAGCAGGAAGGGGTGTCAGTTGCCTCGGCCACTGGACCTGCTCATTCTCTGCTGCGGGAGCTGCACGTAGGATCTGCTGCACACTGAGGATCTTAAGGAGGAAGTCTCAGGGCTCCAGAGGGTATCAGAGCCTCCATTGTGCATGTGTGAGGTCCTTGGCCTTGGAGGTGTCTCAGCTGGTGCCTAAGGGCTCATCTGAGGAAAGAGGAGGATACAGATGAGGCTGATGCCTGGTGAGGGACCCCCAGAGCTCATGCCACTGCTACGTTTGGAGCCTCAAGGCATGGCTGAATGGGCCTGCTGGCTGGTCTACCAGCACTGTCACTCTCATCCAGAGAGCAGTGAACACTCCCACTGGGAGTCAGGGCCCCAGGGTGTCCTCACCCCTAGCATCCTTCTGATAGCCTCCAGCCGTGCCAGGACTCGTGGGGCCTCCTGTGGACACAGCATCTGTAGCTTTCCAGGTCTCATGTGAAGCAGCTGGCTCCCCGTCAGGGACCCGAGGGCCTTCACCGTGCTGTGAACAAAAACAGCAAAAGCCTTTGCAGTGGTGTGCAAGGGTGCTGGGCCTGACTGTGTGGGTAGAGAGGAGCTGTATAGGCTTGGAGAGCAGGATTACAGGAACATTTATGAAGCAGGACATCTAAAAGTGAGGAAGTAAAATCAGTATTTTGGCTTAAATCCTCATCAGAACTCCCTGGACTGGAAAAGGGCTTTGGATTTGAATCTTCTGGCAGGGACTGGGTAGGGGTGGCTGAATGGCAGCTGAAGGTCACCCCAACTTCACCAGTCTGATCCTGGCTGCCTTTGCCATGGCAGAGGCTCCTCATTAGCTCTGGCCTAGGTTTGGACTAGCTCCCCTTTCTCTCCTCTAACTCAGCAGAGATCGTGCCAGGACAGATGCAGGGTAGGCCGTGTTGCGCATGCTGGGTCTCTAGGTTCCTCATTTTCATTTGAGCCCCTTTCCTCTTCCTTCCTTCCTTCCTTCCTTCCTTCCTTCCTTCCTTCCTTCCTTCCTTCCTTCCTTCCTTCCTTTCTGTAGAGGTTTTTGCCTTAGTGTGTGTGTGTGTGTGTGTGTGTGTGTGTGTGTGTGTGTGTGTGCTTTCTGGGGGTGGCAGGGAGAGAGGGCGAGAGAGAGAGTAAGAAATCACCCCCCTGGGGGGTGGCCATACTGCAATCCCTTCTCCTCCATCCGTCTCCTGGGATCTTGGGCACACAGGCATATACACTCGGTGTGAATTTTAAGCCACCGGATCCAGCACTCAAACCATGGTTGACCATGTGGGAATCCAATGACATAACTGCTGTGCCCTCTGCTGGTCCCCATCTGAGCCCCTTTCAACGCTTTTCCCCATACACAGGGCTGGGCACTCACGCAGCGGAGAAGTTCTCTGCCTGCAGCCAGGCCATGACGTCTTCAGGCTTTGAGGTAGGTCGAAGCACTGGACCCTGGAATCAGAGGGACTAGATCAGAGGCCAGAGGCCAGAGGCCATTTCATCTCCCCATGAACAGCCCCAGCGTCTGGGTCCCCTCGCTGAGTCCCCTGATCTTGGGCACACAGGCATATACACTCGGTGTGAATTTTAAGCCACCGGATCCAGCACTCAAACCATGGTTGACCATGTGGGAATCCAATGACATAACTGCTGTGCCCTCTGCTGGTCCCCATCTGAGCCCCTTTCAACGCTTTTCCCCATACACAGGGCTGGGCACTCACGCAGCGGAGAAGTTCTCTGCCTGCAGCCAGGCCATGACGTCTTCAGGCTTTGAGGTAGGTCGAAGCACTGGACCCTGGAATCAGAGGGACTAGATCAGAGGCCAGAGGCCAGAGGCCATTTCATCTCCCCATGAACAGCCCCAGCGTCTGGGTCCCCTCGCTGAGCTCCCTTCAAAACACTTATCCCCATCACCTCCTGGTTTTCTGGTCTGGCAGGGACCTTGTCTTTCTCTGCCACAGCCTGGTGATAAGCTTGGCACAGTAAGCATGCAATAATACGGACTAAATCAAACCAGGACTATCTCCTCCTGCCACCCACCCCTCCTGCACTTCCATCTCAGGATTTATGGCTACTGAATGGTGTAGGCCGGGTCGTACCCGGGGGGGTGACTGGTCCTGGCTTCCGGGGGCTCCCGACTGAAGGGGCTCCAAGATGTTGCTGGGAATGTAGCCGCTCTGGCCAGCCTTGTTCTTCACCAGCCACCAGCGCTTGCTCTGGTCCAGAACCTGCCAAGAGTCACCCCCTCAGTCACCTTGAGTCCCTAGCCAGCCAGCTTTCCCTTCCCCTACAAGGCCTTCTCCCTCCTGGCCCTTCCCAACTTTCTTTCTCCTCCCCTGCCCACCCCGGCAGCCCCCATCCACCCAGGCTGCCTATAGCTCCCACCCGCCACCACCTCCTTTCCTAGCCTCGAGCTCATGCCTCACCTCCAGCACCTCTCCCTGGACCACACTCAGTTCCTGTGGGTTCCTGGCGTCAAACTCATATAGAACTTGCATTTTCAAGGCTGGCTTTTCAGGTCTGGGGCTAGAAGGCATAAATTTGGGGTTCCCAGGCTGAGGGCCATGGTTGTGTATCTACTCCTGCACAAAGTGTGGGGCACTCCCTAACCCAGAGAGCCCCCGTCCCAGCACAGGAGCTGCAGCTGTCTCCTCCTGCGGTCTGGTGGTGACTTCTGGTTTTCCATAGGGCTTGATGGCAAGTTAGTGTTGGGGGGAGGGTGCTTGAGGTAGGGGTTTCTGCAGACAGAAGGGGCCTGGTTTCGACAGACATTTCGGGTAGAATTTCCCACTCCTGAGCTCTGGGATACCCAAGGCATGTGTGGATAGTATCATGAGAAGAAGGGATTGGAGACTAGGAGGGTAAAATATTGGTTTTCCATCCATAGTAGGGGTGTGTTTGCATATGTCCATGTCTGGCTTAAGGGGAGCCCAGAGGGTCTCTGGGATATAGACATCCAGAGATCCAAGGATCATCTTCATCCTTTCCTCCCCAGGACCATGCAGCTCCTACTAAGCTCAGAGCATACCTGGAGGAAACAGAGTCCTGGTATCCTAAGGGTGCCTGTAAGGGACAGAACAGAGAGTGAGCAAGAACAAGAGGCAGCTGGTGTGGTGTATCAGATCACAGGCCCTCTCACCCCCAGCCACCTCTGACCCCTTTTCCTGCCTCCTCCCACAATCAGATACATGCACCCATGTGAACACACCCACCACTTTGTCACATGATCATGGCTTAGACTGGCAGGGCAGGACCCAGCCACAGTCCAGAGCTTTGGGTAGGGCTCTGTGCTAAGCCCCCCTTACCTGATAGGAGGGCTCTGGAGGCTGCCAGCCATCATAGAACGTGGGTTGGTAGGGTGGGGGCTCATTGCCTGTCCAGTTAGCCCTGGGGAGAGAACAAACTGAGTCCTTGTCCACCCCGTACCAGGCTGTGGGGTGCGGAGAGGGAGGAGACGACAAGACCTCGCCTTAGGGATCTTCTGGTTAATGGGCAACATGGAATGGATGAAAGGTCCAGAGCACCCAGGAAGAAGCAAACAGTTAAGCATGAACAGATCCCACGGTGCAGGTTTCTGTGGCCAGCCTCACCTCTGCCCAGGACATGCAGGTGTATCACTGCCATAAGGACACAGTGGGCACGCCGTCACAGTGTTGGGGGTTTGAATGAAGGTGGTGGAACTGTAGACTGTCAGGCTGGAAGACCCCCTTGGGGTCTCACGCTGGTTTTCTAACCAGTCTTTAGTTTCCCAGCAATGATCTCTTTCTAACTAAATAGCTTGTGGAGCTCCACTTTAGGAAACGGATCAGAGCAGATCTGCTCTGGTCGACTCGGGCTAGGTGGGCACTTGCCTGTCTCGCCTCGCCCACTATGCAGGCCCTGGGAAGAGCTGTGCTGTTGTGGCCTCTGGGCTTGTTTTGCTGGGATGGCTTCCACTTGCCTGCCTGGGAAATGCCTGCTCACCTCCTGGAGGAAGCTCCCCTCCCTGTGTCACTGGGGCAGAGGCTAATGTGTCTGCAGAACTTGGGTGGCCCAAGTGCTCCTCTCACGCCGTATCGTACACGACTGGTACACGTCTGTGCTTTTTACTGGCGTGGTGTGTCAGACCGTGCTGGTATTGATGTACATCATTTTATGAATATGGGACTTTGCACTTTTATGGGTATTTAAACAATTATTCCTGTTGGGGCCAGCGGGTGTGGTGTTTAAGGCATAGGATGCTACGTGGCCCACTCTGTGATTCGAGTTCTAGACTCGATGGCTTGAAAAACACGCCAGACATGTGTGCATGTACGCCCCAAATCCTGACAGAAAGGAAGAGAGGAGATTGTTTTGTGACCATTCCCCAGGAAGGTGATTTCTCACATTTCCTCATCTCTCCTCTGCAAGTAAATGCGCCCTAAGGCAAAAAAAAAAAAACAAAAAACTACGGCA